TTTGGATGAGGTACTATCAGTACGCTGATTTGCATATCCCCTTTAGGTGATCTGAGTGATGTGGTGGAATTATAGTTCCTGGAGGCTATGGGCGCCTGGACAGGATGCAACAGGTTTCAGAACAACCCTAGCAAGATTGAATGGCTATGGGATTTGGGGGTTTGAGCCCCTTGCTTGGTTATGTTGTATTGGATTGTGACTTTGTAATTTTTTTCTGGGTGTTATGGTTTTTATATATTTTTGTATCTGTTCTTATTTTTAATATTGAGAGTTGCTCAGAGTCAGGCCTCTACAATGAGTGACCGTATAAATCCAATCAATCAATCAATAAATAAAATATGATCTTTCCTGACATCAGTTTTGTATTTCTGGGCTACCATTCTGTAGTTTTCCTTTGTGATCTAGTTCCGTTTTCATTTCTTGCATGTATCTTTTTTATTTCAGTTCTTTGCTAAGTTTGTTCTTTAGTCACATTAACTTCTTTTTCTTTCTTATCTTTTATCTCCTTATTGAAACTGCATCCATATTTTCTTTTAACATAGTCTTGTTTCTAATTGTATTTTTAATGTAATCTTCCTTAAGCTTTCTTGAGCTTCTTTTCCCATTAGCTTCTCCCACCATTGCATGTATTTATCCTTATATTGATTAAACTGAAATAAAAGGAGCTAAAATCACTGTCAAAAGTGAGACCAATGTGGAGGAAAGGATGTTTTGGAAATAGGCAGTATTCACCATATAAATGGACCAGAGTCCTGAGGAGACAATAGTTGTAAAAAAAAAGCAGATTTTTGGCAGTCCCTTTACATGTATGTGCTTTAAAAAAAAAAAGTGCTGCTGTGGAGACTGGCAAAAACATTATATTACTTTCTCCTGATCTTTGTGTGTAACTAGTAAGACTAACACTATACTAAGTAGAAGGTAACAATTTAAAGAATAACTCTAGTGGAAATTCCATAGAAAGCTGGAACTTTGGCCTACATTTAAAATAGGCACTGGTAGAATTCCATCCAGTCCAATTCTCTCTGAATTCCATGCAAATGTCTGATCTTCTATATTTTGTTCAAAATATTTTATTATTGAATCAGTTACTCTGTGATCTTTATGTCTGTCCTTACTTCAACATCTCTAGGCACTTACTGTCCAAAATTAGGAAAAAATGATTTGTTTCCCCTTTAAAAATTAAAAACATTCCTCAGAGATTTTTAAGAGACAGTAACTGCTGGACTTAGGAATTTCCTAAGTATGTGGATTAAGTATTCTTATTTAAATACACTTTTTGAAAAACCTTTAGGGACCGTGCAGTCCAAGAACTTCGCCGGCAGAGTCGTACAGCTTCATACCATTTAACTTCTACAATAAGATCAATATCACCTGAACGTTGCAGGCACTGGTCTCCTGAGAGGTCTCTGGATAGATCTTTGGATGGGTAAGAAAATGTCTGTTAAAATATATATCTCCTTTCTCTCACTGTTATTGAGGTATAGATCCTCTCTTTATCATGTTACAAATACAACTTTAAATTAGAAATGAAGGCCATCATTTTATTTCTGTGTTGCTGTCCTGCAAAAGTGTGCCCAAAATGGCCCATAAAATCTCAAGTGTTAAAAACTGCCAAGAGAATTCTAATTTTATTTTTTTTCTTGTGTTCTGAACTGTTTCAGGACAGTGATTGGTTCTATATCATGGTTTGCTTTATCATCAGTTTATAAACCACAGTTGGCTGGGTTCTTTTTAAGCTAAGCCATAAACCCTAACCAACAATGAGGTTCATGCCAGGCAAACCATACCAGTGGCATCTATGGAAAAGCTGGGGCGGGGAGTGTGTCAGACTAACGAAAGCACTGTTATGCACCAAGCCCCCACCTTTTTGTATGTTCATCATGATGTCACATAGTATTGTTACAATGCTGACTTCATTATTCTGATGCAAGAAGGCTTCTGAAGATGCTGTTCGTAGGAACTCATTCAATGATATTTAGATCCCCTCATGTCATTCTTGATCTTTTGCTTCCTTTCCATTTGCCTTACCACAAAATTACTGATTGTTTTTGTAACAGTTCATTTTCATGGTTTGGGAGGGACTATGGATTATAGAACTGTATGGATTAAACATACTTTGAGATTATCAATTAAATGAGGCATGTTTTACCATAGAGACCATAAATATTATCCAAAGAAGAATTAATCTTTATAATTCAAGAATTAAAAAAAGAGATTTGTGTTATGTGTGTTTATGTGTTGAAAGGAATGGACAATTACCACTGAATAAAATACAAAATTTCTTTCTTCTTTCATAGAGATTCTATTTCAAAGGACTTCTAATTGAAGAAGATATGGAAAAAATTAACTTCCATTATAAAAATACCAATACATGCCAAACCAAATTCAAGGTTTATTAAAACAATTGCTTTAATCCAATTGGTAAAGGATAATGTTCAGAGTGCTTATTAACTGAAGAAGCCTACATACACAAATATGTTATTTGGGGCATTACAATAAAAGCTATTATTGTTTTATAAAATTTTTATTATCAAAAAGATGTTTCAAAATGAAAATTGAACTGCACACCATCAAAGAAATATATTAAATGAAAAATTTACACAGCTTCTTATTCTTCATTTATTTATTGTATCTTGGTTACACATTTGCTAAATTATTTAATATTTTGAGAAATTGATAGACAAAATCAGTTTTATACAACCATTGAATGCTTGAATTATTTTTTTTAAGCTGATTTTTTAAGCTGACAAAGTTAGTGGTTTCTACCCCATTTTCTCCTTCTGAGAATGAACAAAGCACAATGAGTGTGCTGATTTCAGGAAGCCCACACTTACTCGACTGCTACTGGAGTTTAGGATATCCAGGGAATAGAGTTTGATAGGGAGTGACGGACGATAGAATTGGCAAAATTCATACATATATTTTGTGTAAAGCCTATCCAGTACATCTTTCTCCTCCTATTTTCCACACCGCAACAACTTTGGACAGAGAGAGAGAGAGTGACTGGCCCAAAGACACTCTGCTTTTTAGAGTCTCCCACTTTCTAGCCTGATGCCTTAACCACTATGTGTTTCTGAACTATGCCATCATTTTCATGTCATTGTCAATAGAATTTCCAAAATTCCATTAAAAAACTTCAGTTTTATTTACATTGGAGAGATCCACCTTATTCATACTTTGATTTACTGAAATCAGTAAAAATAAGAACTTCCTTAATAAATCACAACTTAAACATGAATCCATTGTATGATATAGCTATAAAAATGCCCCAAACTGCATCAACAAAAGTATAATGTCAAGATAAAGAAAAGTAACTCTTTATTCTATATTGGTCAGACCACATGTAAAATAAAACTTAGGTAGAACAGTTGGAGGTATTAAATATTTAGTCTGGAGGAAAATCTACGGGAAGACATGAGAGCTATGAAATTTGGGAGCTATCATAGAGAAGACCGGTTTGTTCTAGGAAACATGGCAAGAAAGAATAGGTTTAAACTTTAAATTATAAGATTATGGTTGGGCATCAAAAAGAATTTCCACCTCATTGTTCAACAATGGAAAATACTTCTCTGGGAGAAAAGGTACAAGATTTTTTTCTTTGGATAACTGACTGGTGTTTATTCTCCTCAATCAGACAAATCATATGCTAATTACCAGTCACAAAAAAGCACTAAGAGGTTTTGATAGAATAAGACACAAATATCAATGGGAATCATTTTCCATTGTCTCCTTACTTACCTACTTACCTACCTATCTAATCTATATTTACCTTGCCCAGAATGGCTAGGAGAACTTGGTTCCTTTGGTTATTTTATGTCCTGCTGCATCAGAAAACTCTAAATTTCATGCAATTTCTTGTCAATTCTGTTGTTTTGACATGATGATCAGAACAGTTTTTAAACCTGTTTAGAGTCAGTGGCAGAACTTAATAGCCATGGAAAAATTAGACGTCTAGCATTAGTCTTCTTTAGTTTCACAAAACTGGTAAAATTTGGTTAGCTTAACTGATTAGCAAGTTGACATCCTGGGAGTTATCTTTTAAAAAAAACTGTTTTCCTAGAATCAATATTGGTCTGTGATTTTCATAAAACAATTCCATGTTTGCAGCACCAATTTCCTCTAGTTTTATATGACTGATGATTTCAATTGGACTGGCTGACTGTAAATTGGCATTCCTGGCCATTTTCTAAAACACTATTGTATGACTGTTGAATATCATTATTTTGGCTGATTGGGAAGCTGGAGTGAGAGGCTTGAAATACAGCTTTTTCTCTGGAAATGGGCTTCCACGCAAATTTTGTACCTTATTGCATTACTGCAATGGTCCTTTGATTTTGTTAACATAGCTGGGAATTCCAATGGCCCTTTGATTTTGTTAACATAGCTGGGAAGATGGTGTTCTGGACCATTTTACCCTATAGTTTAGAATGGATTAAGGATAAAATGATTCTAAAAACACTACTGTTGTTAAATGTTCTCAGAATACACCTTCCTTCTACCTGCATCAATATCATTGCAAACATGTCAATTATAGCCAGTTTTTTCCCAATCTTCAAAGAATCCTATTCTTTAAGGTTTGACTGCGACTAAGCCCCACTGAATTTGAGTGCTATATCCAAAGGCTTGTGCCGTACAGTAATCTGCTTTGTAACCGACGACATTAGACTTCGGTGCGGGGAGCGAACCTGGGAAGCATTTTTTTTTTCATTCTTTTCCATAATCAACCCAGTCCTCGTTTCTTCGGAGACAAACCCTGAGGAATTCAGCAGAGTTTTCCTAGAGAAGCCAATGCAGGATTGCAATTTCAGGCGGGCGCTTTCCTGCCAATGCTTCAGCCAGGAAAGTGGCACGAACGGTCCCAGGAAGGAGAGCGCCGATTAGAGCGAGCCTCCAGCTCCAGTTCCCTCACGGCTCAAGCGGGGAAGTCGCCGAGCGAATGCCAATGGGCTGCTTCGTGAATGACCTGCGTTTCCTCCTCCCGTCTCCCCTGGCAGCGCCCGGGTCTGCGCCCCGCCTCTTATTTCTCGCTCTCGGTCAAGGTGCCTTGTGGGGCTCTCCTCCCTCTGGCAATCCCTTCCCTGCCTGAGGCCGACGGAAAGGTAAGTGCCGCGCCGGCCGTCGAGCGGCAAGGCTGGCGAAGTTGAGGCGGGGGGCGTCGTAGAAGCGGGACTCAGGATTGGGGTGCACCTGGCGGGAATGTAGATTCCCGTCAGCGCGTGCCCAGCCAGCAGGCCAGCCTCGCCACCAGGCTGCGCTTTCAAAGCTCTTCGGTTTCCTTGTGCGCCGCCTAATCCGCTGCTTGTTTGCCCCGAAGGAAGTCCCAGGGAGGTAGAGCCAGGCTCCTGCTAGTGGGGGCAGGCAGACTCACTTGTTGGAAGCAATAAGCAGGAAGCTGGTTCATTGAGCAAAGGACGTTTTGTGGAAGAATTACCTGACAGTGCCCGCATTTTTACCCGCTTAATTTCCAAAAGATGAGGGTGGATTCATGAGTTTCAGCCTAACCAAGCAGAGTCACAACACAAAAGTAAACTTATTACTTGAGCTCGTGGCTCAGGGAAGTGTTGAAGAAACTGTGGATGGGGAAGTTTTCTTAGTGTAAGTGGGAGTTAGTCAAATGGCAGCACTGAGAGACTTTTCTTGTTTTTAGAAGCCAACCTTCCTCAAAGTTCAGTTCTCTGCCCCTTCTTGAACCGGCAGAAAATGAGGACTGCACTTGTTGCAGATCCCTAACCTGCCCTAGGCAATGTGGAGTCAGTTCTGTATTGTGTGGAGATTTGCTAAGAGAAAGGATTGGGCTTTGTTTCTCTTTCTCCTACCAGATGTCACCAGTCAGTAAGAAGACATTCACCCATTCTTCTTCTTAAGGTGGACTAGAACTGAGTAAGAGGTAGGTTTTAATGGAGGGGTAAACCAGCAGATCCCACTGTACTATACTGCCTCACCACCCAGGGCTGTCACTAGTTATCTGGTCCTTCTTTCAAAGTCAAATCTCTGGGCCAAGCATTGTCCAGATCTTTCTACTATCCAAGTCAGAATGGGCAATAAGGAGTGTGCTGCACCAGTTTGCAGTGGCTAATAGATCTCTTGCAGCTCCTGTTATAGAATACTTTCTGCTTTTTAATATTATGTCATAACTCATTTTAAAGCCATTATGATGGAAACTGGAACAGGCAGTCCATGACTTACAACAGGTAATCTAATAACGCCCCCCCCCCAAGTTATGTACCCCCAATACTTAAGACCTAGTATTGAAGTTCTAATGGCTGCCCGCCTTGTAAGTAATGCATTAGTCACATTTTGGACGATTAGCATCTGGCCCACATGTACAGCCATTTGCAGCATCTCACAGTCACATGACTGAGATTTATGAGGTTTTTGCCAAAAACTGGCTTTTCAGCAAAAATGCCTCAAAGCAAACAATGGGTTTGCTTAGTGACTGCAGTGGTCAGTTTACAATTGCAGCATTTGCTTAACAATTGCTGCAAAAAAAGGTCATAAAATAAATAAATTAAATACTACCTGTATCATATTGAGATATAAAAAGTAAATTCTGCATTCCTTTAAATCAATATCACTTCTTGAATAATTTATTGGACATGCTCTGTGTATTTCCTTGGCAAAAATATAGGAAGTATTTGCCGTTGCTGCTTTCCATGATATTTTCCTTTCATGTTCAAATCAAGCCTGTGACTTGGGTATACATCTATAGACATAAAATGGCTATCTTCATTCATTATTTTATTCATTTCAATATGCGTCCAAATCTTGAAACCGGTTTTCCAAGACATGTTACACTATCTATTAACTGACATTTTGCAAAGTCAGCTAGTGATGCTACAGATTGGTTGCATTTTTAGGATGCAAACTCGTATAAAGAGGTCCAAATGGAATAACAGTTTTTTTTAAAATTCTCTACAAGGGCACAAAAAAGACATTTTAATGATGCTGAAAAAATAGACTTAAAACTTACAGTTTGTGCCTGAAGTTACAGCTGCGTATGGTCATGTGATCACAATCATGTAACTTTTAGGAATGGCATGAGCAATTTGCGGGATGAATCCTTTCAAAGGATTCTGTGAATGGGATGCCAGCTTGGAGAATGATGCAAAGTGGCCTCTGAAAGAAAGCCTGGCATGGCCATCAGCTGCCTCACATAGGCTGTGGGCCTGCCTGGCTGTAGCAGAAGAAAATTGAGAAGTTCAGTGGGCCATGGCAAATCCGATGGAACACACAGTGGCAGGGGCAATTGGTGGTGGCATTGCAGGCTGCAGTGTGGGGTCTGAGGCAGCATTTCTCAGTGGCAGCAGCAGCAGCAACAGCAGCAGCATTGGGGCTGAAGTAGAGGCTTGTGGGCAGCTACCTGAGACTGCTGAGTACTCCAGGCCTCTACTTTTGCCCTGCTGCTGCCAAGAAGTAATTGAAAAGGACATAGATTGGGGTGGGGAGAGATTGATTTCTGGATTTGTAGATGCCTGAGACTTCCTGGGGTGCAACCATGATGTTGAGCCAGGCTGGGCGTGCTGGCTCAACAGCATTCAATGGGCACAGTGTCTCTGTGCTACACCCCTCCCAAGTCATCCATGGCCTGTGCTGCAAAGCAGTCATGTGACATTTTGTGTAATAATTACTTTGCTGAACAACCAAAATTTTGGACCCAGTTGTGGCTAAGTGGAGAATCACTTGTATATAGAATTTGTTTTGCATTTTATGGAAGTTTTGACAACTGTAAGGTACCACCAACTTTTTTGGCACCACAGATAAGGTTTGGAAGAAAAATTGTCTTCCATGGACTTGAAGGGGAGTGGATAGTTTGTACACAACCTAGATCCTGTGCATGCGCTTTGCTTCCTCACCTGCTGCTTGTATGGTCCGGTTCCTAAGAGGCTACAAACCGATATCTGTCTGCAGCCTGGGCCTTAGAGACCCTTGCTATAAGGGACAAATAAGTGTCCTGAGACTTGCAGGTCATTAAAAATTGCAACCCTTAACAACAAAAACTCTTTAACATGAATCTTGATCTTATTCACTTCAGATTGCAGCATACTGTACAATACCTGCTATGACTCTCAGATCAAAGAAAGGTAGTAACCTAAGCTAGGAAATGAAGTCTCCTTAAAGGACTTAGTTTTTGAATAATTTTGTGCCATCAAGTCAGTATTAACTCTTAGTTACCACATAGATAGATTTTCTCCATAAGGATGATCTATCCATAATTTGGTCTTTCAACAGTGAGGTGGGCAGTTATACAAATTTGACTAATAAGTAAATAATTAATACACTGTAACTGCTGTTGGTTATCTTCTCTTTCCTTCTACTTTTCCCAGCATTGCAGGGTTCTCCAGGGAGCTAGGTCTTTACCTAATGTATCCAAAGTAGGATACTTGACTATTGAAGTATCTATTTACTCAGCGATTAAATTGAAATGGAGCAGGCTTAATGATTTATTTAAAACTACAGGTAGTTCTTGACTTATGACTGGGTGTTTAACAACTGTTCGAAGTTATGATGGCTTGGAAAGGGTGTTTTATGGTCCATAAATCACTTTAAGCCATTGTAACATGTTCATATTGCCCACCCCCAATTACATCATTGTGATCCAGATGCTTGGCAACTGTACTTACAACTGCAAGCAGCTCACAATTATGTAATCACCATTTGTGATCTTCTCTTCTGGCTTCCCTAAAAAGTCAGTGGGGAAGCCGGCATGGAAGTTGCAAGCTGCTATCAAAGAATTTCTGCTCCCTTCCACATATAGGTGGCTGCAGAAATGACACTTGGATCTTTCTTTTTGCAGCCCAGTGTAGGAGTTCCTCTCCCCTCTGTATGTGGAAGAAAAAAAGTGTGCTGGCTGGAGAAACATAGCAGGGATGTGAAGAATTCTCTTCCGCATATAGAAAGGAGAAGAGCCCCTGCTCTGGACTGGAGAAACAATGTGGGGATCCTGAAGATCCAAGCTTTTTCTAGCCCACTGCACAAGTTCTCTTCCATGCATGGAGGTTGAGGGAGGGACTCCTCTCAAGGTCTGCAGAAACCAAGGTTGGATCCCAATGCACCGTGCTTCATTTCTGCAGTCAACTACTTGGAAGAAAGCTTCCTGTTCTCTTTTGGCAGGGAACTCTTTTGCTCCATCTATGCAGTCTATAAGGGACACAGTGGCTAAGATGCTGAGCTTGTCAATCAGAAACGTTAGCAGTTCGGCGGTTCGAATCCCTAGCGCTGCGTAACAGAGTGAGCTTCCATTATTTGTCCCAGCTTCTGCCAACCTAGCAGTTCGAAAGCATGTAAAAATGCAAGTAGAAAAATAGGAACCACCTTTGGTGGGAAGATAACAGCATCCGTGTACCTTCGGCATCTAGTCATGCCGACCACATGACTATGGAGACGTCTTCGGACAGCGCTGGCTCTTTGGCTTTAAAATGGAGATGAGCACTGCCCCCTGGGCCATATGTGCCAGAGGAACCTTTACCTTTATGCAGTCTATGCTTCCATCTATGCCTAACAATTGCAAACTGGAAGAGTCAGGATTGCTTTCACTGAGTGAAACAGTCATGCAAGTGTCCTAATTAATGACCACTTCACTCAATGACTATAATTTCAGCCCCAATTGTGGTGGTAAGCAATACTTGTATGTGTTACTCATAAGTGAAAATATTTTAGGAAGACTTTTAACAGTCATATTTCCCTCTTTTCGTAGGAAACAAGATTTTTATAAGTTATTGCAAGCTTCTTAAGATAACAAGTAGGCATTTTTATTATATATTTTAAAAGGTAGCAATCTTAAAAAGTTACCAACAAAGCCACAGTTTAATAGTAGTACAAAGCAAACACCCACATCCAGCTTACAAAGGTTAAAATAATTTTAACCTTTATTTTTATATGTACCAGTATTACAGCTGCTTAGTTAGGCTGATAAATATTGGATTGAGATAAGAGAAGAATGTTGGTGTAGATAAATGGATATAGTATTTGCATTTTCAGAACAGAATGGTCAGTAATTGATTCTTTATTCAGAATATAGTAGCCTTTTCTGGATATCAATAGGTGACAAACATTAAGCTAATGATCTTATAATATATAACTTAATTACTGGGTCTTCCAACCATTTCCATTTGTTGCTTTTGTTCTCTTTTTCCCTGATGAGGAATACAAGTAGTCCTTGATTTACAACAATTCATTTAGTGGCTATTCAAAATTAGAATAGCATTGAAAAAGGTGACTTACGACTATTATTCATACCTATGACTGTTTGCATTTTCACATGGTCACGTGGTCAAAATTTGGATGCTTGGCAGGTGATTCATATTTATCATGGTTGCAATGTCACAGCAACCATGATCATCTTTTGCATCTTTCTGACAAGCAAGGTCAACTGGCAAGCAATGGGATTCACTTAACAACGATGTTACTAACTAACTTAATAATTGCAGTGATTCACTTAACAATTGTGGTAAGAAAGATAGGCAAATCTCACTTAATGACTGCCTTGCTTAGCAACAAAAACTTTGAGCTCAATTGTGGCCATACATTGAGGACTACCTGTAGTAGGGGATTGAAAAGCCTTTCTCTCAGGTTGGTTGGTCTAATAAATATAACTTAGGTACAGATTTTCTTCCTAGTGTGGCATGCTTCATGTGCCATTTCACAATGTGTGTCATTTGGTCTTGGATAATTGTGATTGTACAACACATTAATCCATAGTTAACCGAATCATTGTTTATTCCATTAACTCCAAGTTTATGTGACAAATTAATCCACAAACTAATGACATAAAATGTAGTGTGCTGTGTGAGTTCAGTAAGTTCTAGCAGCTCCATCAATATCTCTTCCAAGGGTGTCCCTATAGCCTGCTCCCCAGTTAGCTATCAGTTCTGTTACTGAGCACTATAT